AACAAATCAATTAGCAATATCATAAATAAATACAACTGAACAAAATTTCAGGTACAGAAACTGTAATTAAAAGTTTAAAAACACTGCATAGTTTTCTTTTCATAAATAAAATATAGATTAATCAATTAAAGTTATTAAATATATTCAGTCAAGATCAGTAAAAGATTTTCTTTTGTTCTTTGATTAACATTAATGACAGGCAGCACGTTTATTAGGCTGCTGTCTCTTTAACACCGAACATACGCAGATCTAAAAATACTGTACATGTGTGGTTTCTTTCTCATCTGTTTATGTTCACGTAAGACAAAAACGGCTGTGTTTATGATGATATACTGACATAGTTTTCTGCATATTGGTCGACAAATATGAAAGAAGTCAGTTTCGGCCTGGAACAACCTTTTCTACAGTGGAAATACACGGAATGGTTCGAGAACAAACACAAACCGGGAACCCGTACCCCGACCAGTGTTGCCAATTTAGCAATTTTGTTGCCAAATTTAGCAACTTTTCAGACTACCCTAGCAACCTTTTCTTCCAAAAGCACCTAGCAACAAATTTAGCTATTTTTAAATGTTATTTGGCTACTTTTAGCAACACATCACGTGAATTAAATTATTGCTATTTGCAATTGTTCAACTTGATAATAATAATAATAATTTAATAATTGTTCATTTATGATACACCTTGTTGTACCTGTGATTGTTGATCAGTTAGTACACTAAGAAAAATATCTAGAAAAATGGAAAATGTAGGCTTCTAGTAATTTTCCAGGACATTATCCGTTATCCATTGTAAACCCTTTAACCCGAAACACAAAATACAATGCGTAATTTAAAATGCCGGTAAAAAAAAGTGTAGCATACTGACTACTAATACACTGCTTAAAACTAATTGGTCAGAATGTGTAGTTTTACTAGTTCACTAGCTAATAAACTGTAATCCTTCAAAAATGTGTAAGTGTTTGTTCAATAATTCAATGTTGTTCAGTGGGGCAAAAAAGTATTTAGTCAGCCACCAATTGTGCAAGTTCTCCCACTTAAAAAGATGCGAGAGGCCTGTAATTTTCATCATAGGTATACCTCAACTATGAGAGACAAAATGAGAAAATAAATCCAGAAAATCACATTGTAGGATTTTTAAAGAATTAATTGGTAAATTCCTCGGTAAAATAAGTATTTGGTCACCTACAAACAAGCAAGATTTCTGGCTCTCACAGACCTGTAACTTCTTCTTTAAGAGGCTCCTCTGTCCTCCACTCGTTACCTGTATTAATGGCATCTGTTTGAACTTGTTATCAGTATAAAAGACACCTGTCCACAACCTCAAACAGTCACACTCCAAACTCCACCATGGCCAAGACCAAAGAGCTGTCAAAGGACACCAGAAACAAAATTGTAGACCTGCACCAGGCTGGGAAGACTGAATCTGCAATAGGTAATATTGCACTTCTTGGTGTGAAGAAATCAACTGTGGGAGCAATTATTAGAAAATGGAAGACATACAAGACCACTGATAATCTCCCTCGATCTGGGGCTCCACGCAAGATCTCACCCCGTGGGGTCAAAATGATCACAAGAACTGTGAGCAAAAATCCCAGAACCACACGGGGGGACCTAGTGAATGACCTGCAGAGAGCTGGGACCAAAGTAACAAAGGCTACCATCAGTAACACACTGCGCCGCCAGGGACTCAAATCCTGCAGTGCCAGACGTGTCCCCCTGCTTAAGCCAGTACATGTCCAGGCACGTCTGAAGTTTGCTAGAGAGCATTTGGATGATCCAGAAGAGGATTGGGAGAATGTCATATGGTCAGATGAAACCAAAATACCAAAATCGACCTTCCTTTAGCAACTTCCCCTGAAAATTAGTTGGCAACAGTGACCCCGACATGTGTTCTCTGTGCTCGCGCTTCATTTGCGCTGCACGCAAACAGGGTGCAAGTTCTTTCCGTTCCTGCACTTAAATAGTTTTTAATCACATTAAAATGCGAACGCAGGAATCGTTAAGCAGAATCGAAATGTACGCGTCTTATCGAATACCCGGTTCTTGGAAACTTGGAACCGGTTCTAAAATTGAACCGGTTTTCGATACCCAACCCTATCTAAATCTAAATAAAATCCCATATTTACATCACATAATAATAACTAAATATTGCATTTAACAGTGTTTTAAAAATTATTATATATATATATATATATATATATATATATATTAGTGTTTTTAAAGATTAAAGATGTCAGAGAGATAATCTAACTGTAAAAAACTGGGAAAATGAGCATGCACACATATCTAATATTGGACAATATATATCCAGTATTAATAGGCATGTGATATCGGCTTATAACTGATATGGTACCAATATATATTGTGAATTCCTAAAGAATTTGATTAAAATTTGCAAGGTACAAACCTGCGGTAGGATTCTGGGGCATAAGCAACTACTGTGACACAGAGCTTTATGGCTTCACTGATTGAAAACGCCAGGTCCTCATTACCATAGCAAAAATCTGAAAAAGAAACCCAAAACAATAGCAAAATTCTGTTCACGTGACATGGAGCATGAGGGTCAATCTAAGATATGTATCTTCCAGGAGCTCTGTGAGCTATTTTACCCAGAGAGCGGAGAGGTTTCTCGGCCTTCACCAGCTCCAGAGCATCCAGGGAATCTGCAGTCTCTCCCTCCAAAGATACCAGCAGGTCAAAAAGACACTGTGAAGATACTCCTTTTGATAAACCAGTACTAGTGCGAGTCTGTAAGAAAAAAAAGTCATTTCATAAATGCAATGTTTAATAGTGCTGTAATAACACTGTAATAACACCATCTATGAATGAAGAGTTGATCATTAAAGCTCAGTGTTCTTACAGTGAACTCCAGCAATGGGGCCACACTAGCGAAGAGCTGCAATATGAAAGGTTTGCGGTGGAGAATATAGAACTGCCTGCAGCAGAATTCAATCCCTCGACGCAACAGTGGGTTACTCTCATAATCTGCGTATGTCTTCAGCAAAGAACAGCAGCAACACAAAACAAAATAAGCATCATAAAAACAGGAAAAAAGTGATACTGAATAAAAATTACTCATATGTTTGCGGATAACCTGGAGCATAGTAGGAAGGATCCATTGATAGCCACTGAGGGAGAAGAGGTGGTTGAAGTGTACAGCTGTGTTGATGGCAGTGGCGCTGTATTGCCTGAGGAGGGCGCTGTCCTCGGGGTGTAGGAGCAGGGCACCATTAAACACATTCAGAAATAGCATAATCTCATCACCCCAAGGATATTCACTGGGCATGCCCAGAAACATCTCCTCCAGCAGTTTGATCCATAGGACCTTATGTAAAGTGTCCAAACCAAAGAGCTCTTTGCCTGGGAAGGGGGAAAATATATATTGATTTACCTATTGATTATATAATATAGGGGGCGAGAGGTCATGTATTTTTGCAACTGGCTGTGTAAAATTAAGCTAAAGCAGTTTGTTTGAATGCTAGTTTAAATGTAATGATGCTTCAAAATTATATATAAGTAAATATTCTTCTGTTACTGACTTGAATCAGCAGAAAAATGTGTAGCAATAAATTAATTCCAAACAGGTAAAATACTTTGTTTGCTAGCAGTTGTAGTTTATGGCAGTATGGCAACTGACTACCAGGGTTGGGAGGGTTACTTTTAAAATGTATTCCGTTACAGTTACAAATGACTTCATTAAAAAAGTATTCAATAACGTAATCCAAGTACCACAATATAAAAGTAATGTAATCTGATTACTTTTGGATTACTTCAAGTTACATATGTAAAGTCATAAGTAATAGTAAGTAATAGTAAGTAATAGTTAAGCCTGCATTTCAGCCCGGGCCCCGACTTTTTTATGCCCCTAGGGCCGGGCTTCGGGCCAATTTTCACGCCTTAGTTCAGACGTGGGCCGGGCCTCGGGACTGGTTTAGGCTTCTCCTTATTTTTATATTTTAGACATTCATCAATTAGTGATGAAAAAAAATTGCCGTGCTGGTGGAAACAACATGAGACCGTGCTGCCACGACTGTCAAGAGCGGCTAGACGGTGTTTAGTGTCCAGCAGCAGCAGCACCAGCAGAGCGAGCGTGCCGTCAGCGCAGCTGAAGAGATCAGCGTTCAAATGCATGCAATAGGCTAAAGCTTGCCGCAAAGCCCCAGCAAAAGTAATTACCATGAATGTGTCAGGGGGAAATAGTAAGGAGATATTTTAATTATTTACTAATAAACTAGTGTTTTCTGAGTCGGTGTCGCAAGAATTAAGTTGTCGATCTTGACTCGCCATCTCCACATTAGACGCGCCTTTAGAGAGAAGTGCATCTTTACGGATTATGATTATAATGAAAGAGTTTTTGTTTTCGATTTGTTTTATTTCGTTAGGTAGTAATTTAAAGTTTTCTATAGATATATTTATCATGCCTCACAGACATGATAAATATAGATATATTTATCATGTCTGTGAGGCATGTATTCGCTGAGTTTCGGTTCATTTTTGTGAAGCGCTCCTGTTGAAGACGAGACGGCAGAAAGCGCATCATGTTTGTTTTCTTTATTTTATAAAAGCACAACGTTTTGTTGATATTGTGAGTGCACACAAATAAAAGTAGACCCTTTACAGTTCCGAATGATATAATACTTACTCTTACCTTTATGATCAAAAATGACGGTGTATCCACTGAAAAAAATGCAAGTGATTGTGCTGGCACCTCCATGTCCTACAAAGCGCGCTTTAGCTTGCACTCTCAACACAAACTATTGGATACAGCGCACATTTATCTAGGTTTAACGTTTAAACATTGTTATATGCTTGAATTGTTTTATATCTATAGATTTTATTTTAGGCAAGTCGTGATGATTTGAGAAGGCTAACATAGGCTATCAGCTCACTGTCTGCTGTTGGCCGCTTGGTCGTTACTTTAAAAAACAAAAACGTATATTTAACGAACAAAAAATGCTCCAAACATTTTTTTCGAAATTAACTTAATAAAAAAACTCAACGAAAAATAATCACTTCGCCATTACATACAAAACTGAACTATTTTAATAGCTGAAACAGTAGTATAAGCTGTTTTGGGAGAAGGGGAAAAAAAGACGGGCTCGGGCCGGTAATTCTGATAAGCTGTCAGACAAGGAAGACCAGGAACTATGATGAAGCAGCGCTAAATATATAGCGTTATGTCAAAATACTCATTTTTTAAATTTGAAATAAAAACAAATGTAAAAAAAATGTAATCCTGATAGTATTCCCACTTTTTACAAAATGTAACTGTAATCTGAATACTTTATTTTTTGATGTAACTGAAACGGATTACAGTTACTAGATTTTTGTATCCTGATTACGCAACACCGTTACATGTATTCCGTTACTCCCCAACCCTGCTGACTACAAACTTGCTGATCTGCCTCCTTTTAATTAGCAAAAACCCTTTTCTATGACCGAATCAATTCTAATCAATTCCTGATTTTTTATTTTATTTTTGTTAATAAGTTATTTCATTTGAATAGAAGAAATGTTGGCCACAGTTTTCGCTTCATGCTTATTTTATGTTAAAATTAAACTTACCTGATTGAGTGTGATTTGTCTGTGTGCATGAAAAATTTTTGTCTTTCTTTTGTCATTCTACAATTCAACTCAGTTATGTTATGCCTGATTATTAGCTTCTAGAGCAGGCCTATTTATATTGTTAGAAAGGATTACAATGAGCAAGACTTGAACTGATATCTTCACGTAACATTGTAAGACGGATAAAATCATCCGAACTTGCCATACACAACTTTTGGTGAACTGACACCACTTGTTAAATGGCTAGACAGTTAGTCAAGACTATTAGCTATTTAAAAAATGACCAAATTGTTTTTCTCACTCACCTAGAGGCTCATTGAAGAGCGTGAACTCAGCATCAATGGCAGAGCGAGGAAATGATGGCAGTCGCAGAAGGTCTTCCTGAAGCATGGAGACGTGGGATTGTTTGTGCACAGCAGGCATACGCTGGGTAAGCGAGATGATGAACAGAACGCGGCCAATCTCTTCCAACTTTCTAGAAAACACCTGCAAAAACGAAGTATGGTTATTTGTGCTATATCTTCTTAACTAAACTAAGAAATTTGCTCTACTTAAAAAGCGACATACAGTATATGAATTCAACAATGGATCATAATTTCTAAAGCCACCTTCATATTACAAAAAACTCCATTATGTGAGCTGAACCTAAGTTGTACATTAAAAACACTTTCTCCCTTAATGCTAAAATTCACAAAACTCACCTGCTTCTGAATGAGCTCCTGGCCCTTCTCTGGAAGCATATGAACCAGATTAAGTTGAGGAGACACTGATCTTCTGAAAGGGTAGATGTCTCGCACATAGGTCTGATGTAGAGAGGCATACCAATTTTCAGTCAATATACAAACAATCTGGTGTTTACTATCTAGAATATATAGTATCTATCCTTTGAAATTTGTAGATCTGTTCTGAAACAACCATAACCCACCTTGGCATAGTGTATAAGGTTCCAACGCTTATCCATCAAAAAATAGTTAGCAGACCGAGCCTCTGGAATATTGAAGAATTCTAAACACTCCTGGCGTGAAAACATATAAGTAATAAGGAAAAGGATGATATATTGTCAAAACATAGCAAAATAATGATAACAAATTTACAGCTCTAACAATGACCTTCAAAAGGGCTTCAAACTGGGTGTCTTCATGCACTGGTAACTGGGTGGGAATGTCACACTCATTCTGTCCATGAACCACCAGGGTTTTGGTTCCTAGGCACACAATTACAGGCACAGTTATAAACATGAAAAAGACACTAGTTAACTTATTGTCTGTATTGAGTAATGCTGAAATATGCAACCTGGCATGGAGGCAGTAACCAAAAGCTTGACCTCACACTGTTCTTTCTTCATAGTCTGTTTAAGGTCTTTAAAAAAGAGCCCCTCCACATAACCCACAATCTCCCACAGAAAGGTCAAAGTGGCTGATATGGCATCCATGCCCCACTCACAGGGAGTCCTTACAAAGTACATGATCAAGCCCACCTAGGAAAAAATGAGAAAAATAAGAGATTGCACATGTCAAGTTTGATATGTAGATCCGCAGAATCCATGTATCTCCATCCATTACTTTTAAAAGAATAGTTCTTGATGAATGTGTGTTTAGAAAATGAAAATTCCGTCATCATATGCACACCCTGTCATTCCAAATCAATAAGACTTGTTAAGACTGGTAAGATAAGACTGGTTAATCTCAAAACACAAATTAGGATATTTTAATTAAAATTTACAAGATCCAATAAGGTCATAAAGGCATTGTAAACTTAATCCATATGAACTGAGTGGTTTAATACAAATCTTGTGAAAAGACATGATCACTTGTTATGATGAAAAGATTTATTTAGACTTTTATTTACATTTAAACAAGGACATACACACATACAGAGAAAACATCACATAAGATAAACCAATCGACTCATTTAGATTAATTTTACGGTGCCTTTATGACTTTTTGTATCAATTTCATTCAATGGAGGGACAGATACCCCTCAGGTTTCATAAAAATATAATTTTATTTTGAAGACTAACCTAAGCCTTAAGGGTTTGGAATGATATGAGAGTGAGTAGAAGACAACACAATTTTCATTTTTTGAAATTTTGGATACTGCAAAAAAAAAAATAAAATAATTGGTGCTTTACAAAACAAAAAGCTCTTCACACTCAAATAATCTCATATAAGTTATTTATGGCACTAAGAAAAATGTTCCTGGAATCCAAAATATTTGTTCTATGGAATTTCTGAAAAAAAAACTTTTTGGTTCTTTCTGGCAGCTTTATTATTTTTAAGAGTGCGCACTAATAAGAGTGCAGTCATCACATTAGTGTTGAAAAAGCATGCTAAGGTCTCACCAGATAGTTGAAAAGAATGTGCGAGGTCTGTGCAGGCAAATCCCCAATGTTAAGAAGCAGTTTCCTCAGCATGTACATCAGTTCATCCTGTGACCAATAACCATCACATACGTTTCATCATATAACAGCACATGTTCATCTTTTCTTCTCTAAAAAGTGACCTTACCTGTCTATTACTGACTGTGAGTTTCTCCAGGAAATGTCTAAGAACCAAGGCTGGATCTTCAATCAGGCAGTTCCACAAAACCTGCTGAGCAACAGCACATACTGTGGGAACACAAAACAAAGAAATAAATTAGTGTGAGGGTCTAAAAGACCAGTGGGTAAAACTGTTTTCGTTTTTTTAATTCTTTGCCACTCACCTGCAACTCCATCGTCCCGAACTTCTCCATCTTCCATCAGGTGCACAATGGGCAACACAGCAGCACAGATACATGGTGGGAAAACAGACTGGGGTGGCTGCAGCATGTGATGTGTTGGTGTGAGTTCTGTTGTGTTCTCATCATCTTGTAAGTTAAAACAAACCACATTTATAAAACAAATTCAATGACGGTCTATGAATATAAGATTTTATGATTCCTTAATCTGTACCTAAACGTGTTCATGGTGAAAAGAGTGAACAGGTCAGTGAATACAGTAGTATGTGAATATACATAATTTGGACTGTTTCTTACCTTCAGCACTGACCACTGACCGCACTGACCACACAGAGCCCCTGCGGAAGGAGTAGTTTCTGTGGGAGTTACTGGAGGCACAAGAGGGGCTGACTGACAGACGACGTGATGTCAAGTTCACCACATCTTCTACTGACAGAGAAGAGGACACCAGATATTATATTTATTCATAAACAGCTCATCTCTATGAACATGTTCTGAAAGCCCATGAGGTGTAAAATTGTTTTCAGGATTGATCATTGGGCTTAAAGTGAAATCAATGTTTCAAAATCAAATCCAGACAACCTTCACTTAAAGAGGTCACATCATACGGAAATCCAATATATATGTATATATGTGTGTATATTTTTTTATTAATGACCACTTCCCACTTTCTTTCTGACACAAGCCATTTAAGACTTACAGGGAAGTGTCATACACCAAAAAAATACTGCAACATATTATTAATATCACTGAATCAAGCTAAATACATTCATTTATACCAAGTCTTTAGATAATAATAGTACTTAACAGTAAATGTCAGAGGTTATGTATATATGTATAATTGTTCTGAATTTCCTGCCTTTAGCAAGCTAAGTAGGTAACAAGATTTTTTGCCAGCTTAGTTACAATCAATGCTATTTTTGGACCATGTTTTTAGCTACGGGAAGTAACTGTTTTCATAGTAAAATGAATCTGAAAAGATCAAGGAAATGATTGTGATATAACCCTAACTGGTACAGCACAGAAATGACACACCTTCCTCTTCCTGCTCAGGTGGTGGACTACATGTGGGCTCATAGCAGGCCTCCTGAGCGATAGGGATAGCCGTGATGACGCTGGCCTCACGACCGAGCCTCCTCTTCTCTTCCTCCTGCTGCATGTTCTTCAGGATGTGTTCTGCCCGTTGATGAGAGCGAGATACTGCTCGTGCTGAGAATGATTTCTGAAATGTATAGGGAGCAGAGAAATAAATGAACGGTGGAAAACAGGAAAATATCTTATGTAAAATTTGTGCATGACCATTTTGCCTTATGGCAGCAAAGTTTTGATGCAGTAGGCCACAAAAACCTACAGACTGATCTTCACTGATTGCATCTGGAACAGTGCCTGCATTAACAGGAACCCATGGAGGGTCAAATATAGGCACACAGGGCATTCCCAGGATAGGAGAGGGCAGTGTGAAGTTAATGCTGGGTGGAGGAATCTATGAAACAACATCAGAATTTATATTATTTTGTTATAATGATTGAAAACAAAGTAATAGAGTAGAATATGCATACTGCAGGTAAATTGTAAAAATCTAATTGACCTACCTTAAATATCTGCTGAGCCCCCTCTTCCATCCGAGGCCACACTTGGTACCGGAATCTCCAGACAGTGTAGAATTTCAAAATGGAGTTAATTCTCTGACATGCTTCCTGATGCTGAAACTCAGCCATCATCATTTCGGTCACTCCATCCGGCACCTTCACCGCGCACAGCAGGAACAGGGCAGCTATGTGTTTGCATGATTATGGACATAGAGGATAATTTTAAGAAACAAATGGATGAATATAGATTGCACAAGTTTTGCATTGTGTTAAATGTGTAAAAAAAAATCCATGTGCTTTAAATGTAGCACAGTTGACAAAAGCTGCATTAACTAGCTAATGACTACATTCCTCAGCAAGGGAGGAATATATTAGATAGACAGACCTGCAACTGCAGCCATATGTTCATCCACACTCAGCAGGAGCTCCCATGCTGCAGGCAAAATGTCTCCATACATGTCCTCAGTCAGGATAGGGGCTGCTTTTATAAGCAAGGACAAAGGGGCTGGAGATAGACTCATTACCTAAAGGAATAAAACATAGTACACTTAACACAACTAACACACAGTCTTTATGGATTTGTAACAACAGCAATAGCTTGTACACCAGTAATGGACAGTAACGAGAGACCTGGTTGCGGATGTACTTTAGCATGCCAGTGTCTTTTTTCCCCTCAGCACTGCTGTCAGTGGGGCGTCTCTTCATGGATGGGGTCCCGAGGCAGGATTTGTCTGAACACTGAAACAAAAAACAATTATATACTGTACTTGGGCAGGCTGAGCTAGGAAGGGTTGCACCTGAATGCCTTTAGTCAACACATACGGTACAGTGTATTTTTAGGGTGGCTGAAAAGATGCAAATGAAAGTGGCATTTTAATTCCATTTTGAAATGAAAACTGCCAGTAGATGAATGCTTGATGAATTATTAATTCATTCAATGTATTAAAAGGACTGCTTCATTCAAGAACAAAGCAAGTGAAAGTGTCACTGAATCATTCGCTCAACTGATTTGTTTAAAAGATTTTCACAGATTCATTTAGTAGCTAAACACCACTGTGTGTTGACTGGAGATGTACAATGGCTTTGTTGAGGCTTTGTTTCAAACCTTTTTTGCTGGCAAAACAGACAATAGTGTGTCTAAAATGTTAGCAAATTATGCTGATATTCAGGAAAATAGCACTCTTGCTGGTGTGATATTGTTTAACTATACTGTTTGTTATAAATATAAAAATATCAACACATGTGTGGCTGTTTTTTACACCTAGATATTGAATTTCCTTCAGAAAACAGCATGTTGGTCTGTGCCAATTGCCTTGTGGGCAGCGCGCTGACATACAGCACCTTTGCGCTATGGGTGTCCCGAGTTCGAATCCCAGCTTGAGGACCTTTCCCAGTCCCACCCCCCTCTCCCTCTCCTGTCAGCTCTAAACTGTCCTATCATAATATAGGGAAAAACGGCAAAAATAAATCGTAAAAAAAAAGAAAACTGCATGTTTAGAATTTTTAGAGGGATTATGTATAAAACTGGGACAAATAAATAACAATGCCGCGTTGTGTCTGCACAATAATAAAAATGTTTTATTTTTCTATTATTCTGTTTTGGGCCAACTTGAACACTGATACTGTACTACAGAAACAATGAATATTATTTAACCACCTCTTTGCTCTTCTTGGCACGGCCACTGATATTGCCGGTAGTGCTGTTCTCTTTCAGACTGTCTACTGTCTCTCCATATAGAAGTTTGATGGCACGGACGAGCCGAGCACATGAGCGGCTGTGGTGCTGATAGCAGCGAGGGTGGCAGAAATCCACATGAGTGCAGATGAAACTCTGCTGGTTGCACAGCAGAATCATGATCTGGAAATTGAGAAAGAGGATTGTATCAGGCAAATATCAGACACATTTATTTCACACAGGGAAAAGTCAGAGTGCTGGTGCTTACATGTAGCCAGGACATGTTGCGATGGTAGTTGTCCTCCACACCCCCTGTGCTGCCAGGACCCTCAGGTTCAATGCTTGGCTCGCTAGCACTCCAAGAGCTCCCTAAACATATAACACATATACACATTGTAATCAATGAAAATAAGTTCTTATTTAAGTTTGTCAATTTTTGGTTTACTGGATAACTGTTAGTAATGTGCAGAAAAGCCTTTATTTGCATAGTCATATTTGTTTGGCATATCTATTAGTGGCAATGACAAAATGTATGTTTTAGTTTTGGAAGTGGGCAGTTATATGTTTTAGATATATTGCTTTGACGTTATAGTTTTCATATAGCAAATAAGCCTTGTATTATCCAAAAAAATCATGTAAATCAAGCTAAAAAGGTACATAGAAAAAGTTTCAGCTTGAATCAAAAATATAATTATATATATAAATATATCCCTTTTGTTTATTTATTTTTATTTTTTTTTATTTGACCCCTCCTTATACAATGTATACAAAAACATTTTTATCATATATCTCTCACTCTGAAGATTTAAAGCAGCAGTAAAAACCTTTCAAATAGCTCAATGTAACTCTTGACAAGTTAGAATTTCTGAGACACATTCAATGAAAGAACTGCAAAATAGCCATCCAGATTGAAGTTAAAAACACACCTTAAATATCTTATGACACTTGGCTTCACAAAGTGACCATTAAGTTATAATATGTGCATTTAGATATGTTTAGTAAAAGCATTATATTATCCTTGTGTTTGCTGGGTCAGCCTGACAAATATATATTTTTCTATAATTCAGCAAGTTTAATTATTCATTTGCCATTTTTTCCCATTATGCATGTCTCCCCAAATAAGGTTTGGAAGTTCTGGCCAGCTCCCTAATTATGACACTTACAAATTTAACATTAAAGCCCTCAGATACATGAAGTCTAGCCAAAATAAATTAATTTAGGGCTGGAGAAGGACTGTCTGACCTATATCAGTGACAGTATCTCTACTCTGGGAGAGCAGCCGTTCCGATTCTGCGTCATTCTCAGACTCAGAGTCCTGTCTGGACATCTTAGTGCTTTTCAGACTCCCTGCTCGGCGGATAGAAGATAAAGAGCCTCCTTTCTTTAGTCGGAAACTCCTTGCTCCTTTAATTTGTAGCAACCGAGAGCCACCAATACGGATCTTTCTAATTGGAGCTGTGGAAAAACGAGAAAAAAGAAAATGTTAAATCAGACTTTAGCCTTGATCAATCATGTAGACAATTATTCCTTTTTCATTTTACCCAGAGGCTCTTGTGATGATTTCTTTTCCTCACAGCCAGTGTCAGACTTGAGGGTGTGGCTGCTGCTATTCAGAGAATCGTGTCCATCCTCATCATCCAGGATTCCTGCAAAGCTGATCTTCCTCTCATAGCGCTGACGACCTAGCTCGGGGTCCAGACGCAAACGACAACTCTCTAAATCCTATTGAAGCCAAAAGACAAGCCTGTTATATGTATTCTTTTACTGTGCGATTTTAGATCCGCTTACCCTTCAATCATTAGTCAAACAGGCTGAATACACAGCAAGGCTTCAACTGAGATATTCATTTGCCATTCCTAATTCATTTCAGTACATTTATTTTCCTGTCATTCCAATTCAGCATCCTGTATTGTGGCCAAATGAACACAAATTCCAAATTATGAACTGAAAGAGAGTCATACAAGTGCTGTGACCAGTCTCATTTAGTCTAGCACAGAGCACATAGCAAGGTGTTTTTTTTTTATAAATTAGACCGAATAGAATAGAATGGGTAGAAATCTTTATTCTGCCATACACAGACATAATGAAAGATGTATGGAATGTTTTCATGAAGATATGATTTTATCAGATCTCTCTGAATTGTTAATCATAAAGCCACGCAAAACATGTGGATAATTTTTTTTAAAGCAATTTCAGTTTTCATTTAAAAAAAATTTTGTTTTGTTTTTTTAAATATTACTATTTTTGTTTTAGTTTTTATTTCAGTTTAATTTGATTTATTTCAGTTATTTTGCTGATTTAACCCAAACTTTTTGTTTACGTTAATAAGATAATAGTTTTAATTAATAATAATAACAATGTAGAAATTAATAAATCTTGTCTAAGGGAGACAATACCAAAACTGACCACAAGGGGCTCTGTTCTGGGTCTGGGAAGACAGGGAAAGGTCTCTCGCAGGAAAGTGGTGATCTCCAGAAGCAGCTGACAAGCAGCCATCTTCAGAGGAAAGGGACATCCACACTTTGTGGGGTTGACTGTGTCTGTTGAAAGAATCATAAAAACCCATCAGCTAAATGCACAACTATTATACTGGATCTGAAAAGTCCTATGTTTGTTTGTTTGATCAGCATTCATCATCTCCACTCTTACTGTCATCCAGATAATCTTCTTCCTCATCCTCCTTTTTCACTCTCCTCTTGCTCTCTTCATCATAGATAAAACCCAAGATGTTGGCTGGACTCTCTCTGTCTGAGTGGCAAATTTCACTAAGCCGAGTGCCTATCGCCTTTTCAAGGATACATATATTAGATGCAGACAAATACCACATATGAATTTCTAAAAAAATTACATAAGAATGTTTTCTGCAGGAAAGATTAGATTTGCATATCTGTCAGCATAATGTGACTCACATCTCCCCACTGGTAAAAGTGTTTGGCTGCGTTCCACTGGAGCTTTGTGTTTCTTTTGTTTCCTGCTACAGGCGATCGTCCTCTGGACAGCCCTCTCTTAGTGATGTTCACATGGTGACCTTTCATCCACTCTGGCCAGTTACCACGGTTACAGCGATGCACAAAACGAGCACACTCCAGGAAAAGCGAGGCCCTTGCCACCACGGGTGCTTCCTGGTGAAGACATTTAGCAAAATTAACAAGACAATATTCGGTTCCTTATTTTCTCTGAAAATAAAGGCCAATTTTTGACCTTGATTTATAGATGCATTTTTTTGTACATTTTTTTAATTGGATGATCAGGGTAAAATGCACTTATTTTGTCTTCTGGGAAACATGTTAGTATTTATGTAGCTTCTGAAGTCCATTACTAAATGAAAAAATATGATCGTTAAACAAAATAAGAAGAATTTACACCATTATATCATCATCCTGTTCAAAATTTTGGCTCTTAATGCATTGTGTTGCCTTCTTGAGCATCAGTAAATGTTTCCACCTTTTGTAATAGTTGTGTATGAGTCCCTCAGTTGTCCTCAGTGTGAAAATATGGATCTCATAATCATACAGTCACTTTTGGAAAGGGTTCAAATATGCAGAAGAAAACCAAAGAATGTGCAGGAGCTGGAGGACTTTTCTGAAGAACAGCAGGCAGTTGAACTGCTCAGAACCAACAAGGGACTCATGAACAACTATCACAATCATCCAGGAAATGACACGGGTCATTTTTATAAATTCAGTTATTATTTTGTTTTGTGGAGTATAAGTGTAACGGAGGCCAGCGAGTAGGTGCTATGCAGGTAAACCTCACTCCCCTGATCTCAAGAGGCACACTAGTGCTAGAGGCTGCAGTCTGCCTCCCATGCTGGAAACCCAGGTTCGAGACCCACTCGGAACAAGAACGAGGTGTGGTGGAGAGGACCCGGGAGAGAGGAGTTACATTGGTGCCGTGACCCGGATGGGAGTGAGGCTTAGGGGGGGTGAAAGTAACGGAGGCCAGCAAGTAGGTGCTATGCAGGTAAACCTCACTCCCCTGATCTCAAGAGGCGCAGTAGCGACTGATGCTAGAGGCTGTAGTCTTTAGCCACCTTGTTAGTGCGTCCGCCTCCAATGCTGGAGACCTGGGTTCGAGACCCACTCGGAACAAGAACGAGGTGTGGCAGAGAGGACCCGGGAAAGAGGGGTTCAATATGTAAACATCTGTTATGTGAAATGGCTTATTCAGAACAGTACTAAATAAAAAATAACATGCAATTTTCATGATCCCTCTTATTTTGTTTCAAATTATTAACATTTGTGTGTGAACAGGATCACACACAATTAAGACTTTCAAGGCATTCTAAACTAATGTGCATCCTTGCTAGGATTTGCGACAAATTAAAACTTGTGTTGTAAAACTGACTAAAAATATAAAATATGTTTGATATCCTCTGACTGGATGGAATCATAGTCTGAAGCTAAATATGTGCTCTTCATACACAATGTGATTTTCTGTGAAATCCATCAACTCTGACTCTGGCTCTGGCTTTCATCAACTAGCGTCAACTCATTCAGACACAAATGTGAGCAAAACTTGTGTAGTGTATTCCAGCCTTATCTTGATTAATGTAATTTGTGGTTAAATTTGTGTACCTGGACCACAAAACCAGTCATAAGTAGCACGAGTATATTTGTAGTAATAGCCAACAATACATTGTATGGCTCAGAATTATCGATTTTTCTTTTATGCCAAAAATCATAAGGATATTAAGCAAAGATCATGTTCCATGAAGATATTTTGTAAATTTCCTACCGTAAATATATTAAAACTTAATTTTTGATTAGTAATATGGATTGCTAAGAACTTCATTTGGACAACTTTAAAGGCAATTTTCTCAGTATTTTGATCTTTTTGCACCCTCAGATTCCAGATATTCAAGTAGTTGTATCTCAGCTAAATATTGTCCTATCCTAACAAACCATACATCAGTGGAAAGCTTATTTATTCAGCTTTCAGATGATGTATAAATCTAAATTTCGAGAAATTGACCCTTATGACTGGTTTTGTGGTCCAGGGTCACATCTCTCCCTATATATAGAGGTATATTATCTCTGTATATTTTACAGTCTAGTATATATGTTTCAAAAGTAATGTGACACCATTTATATATATATATATATAAACAAAAGAAACAGAACTGACCAGGTCCAGCGCTGCTGCTAAAATCGAAGCATCTGGTATGGTTCCCGGCTCACAGCAGTTCAACAGGAACTGAAATCTCTTCATGCCTTGTCTGATTGCACCTAGATTCACAATGTTCTTATTCTTCATGGCCTCCTGACTGGCGGCCAAGTGCTCCTGGAATCCATGGCAACCTTGTCGTGGTACAGAACGGTGTCAGTGAAAGGAGTGTAGAACCTCTACTACATAAACAGCTGAAAATAGCTTATGAAATATGCATCTGGTGATATCGAATGAACATGCAAGGCTGTTTTTGGCACTAGTCTGAAACAACAAGAATACTCAAGATTTGCAAATCAAACTATGACTTCTGAAATCCCCCGAATAAACATCTAATAACTATTAACTATTAACTTGGAGAGCTGAAGGTTCACGACAACTCAGACAAAGCTGTGACGGGTCATGGTGCCGGGTCATAGGTCAGAGAACCACAGTCCCTCTTCCAGCAGATGGCTCTGACAAAGATGGACAAACACACAGAGAGCTGGTATGGAAGATGGTAGAGGAGTGTACCAGAAGCACAAGACACGTCAAGTACGGGCACACACACAAATAAACAAACAGAGCAAACTGTGGACGGGGGTGGGGGAAGGCACCCCAGGATTCTACCATCTTTCTCTTCTGTGTGGTGAAGCTTGGAAGGGTTCCTCCGACCAGACCGCCATTTACCGAGCCGCTTGAAGAAATTCTCCTCTTCCTCTCGCCCATATTCGATAGCGCTACCCTCCGACAGCTTCACAGCACTGGTGAACTTGACCTGAGATGTACAGAAAAACTCGAATCAAGGACTTCCTGACTAATAGCTCTACAGCAATGACTGATTGTCTGCCATGAAAGTTCAGCTTTATTCCCAAGAAAGAAATTAGGTGAGGAAGAAAAATGATTGCAATAATAATCACAGTAACACTGACCAAGTTTCTGGTGGGACCTGACAAATATAACCCCCTTTTCCCACCTTGTGTGTGCATATTGACTGAGTATAATTATTGTTAATTCATTTTACTTTGTCTTGTGTGTACATTAATTTATTATAGTTAACGAAACACACAAATATTTTTAATTTTTGTTATTAGAACTAAAAGTAATGTTAAATAATATATATATATATATATATATATATATATATATAAACATATATATTAACATTTTTGTGATTAGAACTAAAATTAATGTAATAAAATTAATGTTAAATTATATATATATATATTAACATCTTTGTTATTAGAACTAAAATGAATGTAATAAAATTAATGTTAAATTATATATATAGAACTAAAATTAATGTAATACAAT